TGCTGTGGGCAGCCTCTCCCCTTTTTAGATGGCTGGAGCTCTGAGCTCCAAAGAGGCGCAGAGTCAATACAGTCGTACCTCTTCTTGCGAACGCTTCATGTTGCGTTTTTTCGGGTTAAGAACACAGCAGACCTGGAAGTGTTTGCTTCCGGGTTTCGCTGCATGTGCAGAAGCATTCTGCGCGGTTCATGCATGCGCAAAGTGCTCTATTGCGCTTCGCACATGTGCAGAAGAGCCGCTCTATTTACAGACTTTTCGGGGTGCAAACGGCACCCCCAGAACGGATCGTGTCCACAACCAGAGGTACCACTGTATTTATTCTGCCCAGATATATTGATTGATTAGATAGATTTATAATTTGCTTTTTGAAAGCAATTGTCACATGGTAGCTTGCAATATGTATAAATTACAATTCAAAACTAGTGAGGTACAGTGAAGGCACCTGCCGGGTGGCTGGAGCTCAAAACCTGACAGATGCAGTTAAAAGCCCTCAGTGTGGCTCTGCTGTCCCTTCCTGCAAGGGCCACAGGGGTGGGTGTGCTCCTTTCATCTCCGATGGTTGGAACTCCAGCCGACACAGGGGCACATTTCTGTCTCTGTTTGGGGCCAAAGGAGGGGCAGGGAACATCGTTCCCTCTTTGCAATTCCAGTGTTATAAGAGAGCCTCCGACCCACCTGTCTTCTCAAGGAATGGAGGAACCCTTGCAAGCAAGCTTGTTTAGCCATGTATGGTTTTAACCACTCTCAGTTTAATCGACATTGGCTAGAATCCTTGGAACGTGTGCACAAAACATTGACTTAAAGGTATATGGAAGATAAAATGATACCCACAGATGGCTCAGTTGATCTGGATTTTAATCCTGCTCTAGGGGTTTTCAGCGATTTAGACTGCTCGTGCTATATTATATCTGGATTGCAACTGATACTAACGTAGAGTAATCCCATTGAAATTAATAAACATGAACACGTTAGAACCATTAATTTCAACAGGTTTAAAGGTAAAGGTAAAGGGACCCCTGACCGTTAGGTCCAATCGTGACCGACTCGGGTTGCGGCGCTCATCTCGCTTTATTGGCCGAGGGAGCCGGCGTACAGCTTCTGGGTCATGTGGCCAGCATGACGAAGCCGCTTCTGGTGAACCAGAGCAGCGCATGGAAACGCCATTTACCTTCCCACCGGAGCGGTACCTATTTATCTACTTGCACTTTGACGTGCTTTCGAACTGCTAGGTTGGCAGGAGCAAGGACCGAGCAATGGGAGCTCACCCCGTTGCGGGGATTCAAACCGCCGGCCTTCTGATCGGCAAGTCCTAGGCTCTGTGGTTTAACCCACAGCGCCACCCATAAAACTTGAACACTACTCATAATTTAAAGAAGCAGATGCCAAGTGCTGCACCTGAACAAAATGCAGAGATCCCTGCTCAGCAGCTAATAATAATAATAAAATGTATTGAAAGAGGATTGAATTTGAAAGTGCAATCCAAGTGCACTCAGAAATAATCTCATCCCATCATGCCACAGCAGTATTAAAATCCCACCACATATTTTTGTTCTTTCCCCTCCTGCCCACATTGTGAGCACCGTAAACCATGGTCGCTTCCTCCTGCTGTTTACGTTGCTCACTTGTGCAGTAACAGGCTGGGCTGCACAACCCTAATTTGTCCCACCTCCTGGATCATGTAGACCGGATCCAGTAGATGGGGTGAAAGAGAGTTGTGCAGCTTGTCAGTAAATGCATTGGGGAAGTCTCTTGTAATTAGCTGAGGGCTAATTAAGCTTCTGTGGTGGAATACCTGTTTATGGTGGTTTGTGATAATTTGTTATCAAAACTGAGGAAGCATTACTTGTGATCCTAGCCCTCTTTAGACGCTCATGTTGAACATGTAAGGGCCAAAAGTGTGTAGTGGGCTTGTCCGGCCTCCAACATCCTCATGAGTGCGATTCGCTCCACCCTGACAATCCCACATTGCATAGAAATGTCCGAAGGGACTTTCTATGCATGATTGGCTTAGAAGCCTCCCCACAATCAGTCAAGTACTCTTGAGATGCAGAATCCAGTTTTAGTTGTGGACAAAAGACCCTTTAAAACAATTAGCACTTGATGATGTTGCCTAACTGCACTTAATCTACATTCTAGTAATTAATTTAATAATATTACAGCAACTGCCTAATTGCAAGGGGTTATCTATCAGTGCTTCTAATGGGATTTGTTCAAAGTGTTTGTAGACTTTAAATACTGCAGTTTTACTGTCAGCGTTTCTGCAGACAAAGCAAATAGTTTTTATGCTTAGATCTTGGCTGCAAACCTAAACAGGGTATTGAGGAGTGAGTCCAGATGAACACAGTGAGACTTATTTCTAAGTAATCATACATAGGATTATGTTGTGATAAATATTTAAAAGTGTTTATCTGAAGCTGGTGAATACATATGGGTTGCATTAAAACAGTGTTGCATATTGCAGAGTAAAAAACCAGATAAATATTTTTCAATCTTGCCATGCTGGAGCATAAAAACAATCTATTTGGTGCATGCTGTGGGCTAATCATTTGTCTGGTCAATTGGTTTCCCCCTTTATTAAAGGCCCATTCAGATGGCGAGGTATTTGAAAGGGGACTGAACGCTTTGATACAACTGAGTGCTGTTGTTGGCCCTGCACTTAATGATCACCTGAAACATCTACTTTCAAGTGTGAGTACAATATTTGGCAGTGGGTTTCTTGTATTTAATAATAAATAATAATAATTTTTTATTTATACCCCGCCCTCCCCAGCCAAGGCCGGGCTCAGAGCGGCTTACAAGCAATAATAAAAACAAGTTGAATGATTACAACTTAAAAACAAAATTAAAATACAACATTAAAATATTACAACATTAAAATAAAATGTAGCCTCAACGCAGGAGGAGAAGGAAAGAAAAAAAGAAAGAGAGGGAGGGAATCAAATTGGCTCCAAGCCAAAGGCCAGGCGGAACAACTCTGTCTTACAGGCCCTACGGAAAGAAATCAGATCCTGCAGGGCCCTGGTCTCATGAGGCAGAGCGTTCCACCAGGCCGGAGCCAGAGTTGAAAAGGCCCTGGCTCTGGCTGAAGCCAATCTAATTGTATTCTTGTATCCTGAGAAGCATTTGTTTCAGTTTGTGGCACATCATAATCTAGATTCCATGAGCTAATACGTTAATAGCATGTGGGCATTTTCACATTTCTGAACACGGCTTGTGGCATGCCTATTGAAGATGGTGCTTCAGCCATATTTTGCAGCATGGAAGGTGCTTGATAGCCCCGTCCCAGTTTTCCAATTCCATGCAGCAGCAAAATAAAGTTTATCAAGCTGCTCCTGTTAGGACTTGCATTCAGTTTCTTGAGTCACAAGTTGGTGGAAGCCTGAACGTGTAAAGATGCTACGGTCCCTCCGAATCTGTGAAATTAAGACTGCCTCTTATCAGTCATTGTTACCAGGATGCATTATTCACAATCTGGTTGACGCTTCTCCATGTAATGGGCACAAAGGAGGACGTTGCAGCTACGCTCAACAAATTAACCCACTATTGTATTTTACTTTTGCCACAGCTTTCAAAGAGACAGATGAGCAAAAAGTACAAAGAGCAAACTACAGATGCCTTACAGAAGCTGGAGCAGTATGGTGGGAAGGTAAGCTCAGTTGATTGGTCCGCTCCTGTGACATACCTAGGTCAGAATTTGTTTCTCCTGTTGTCTTCGCTTATCTTATAGTGTTAGGTTAAATCCATCACACGCAGTCAAGTTGTCGTACTCTGATGATGCACGTTCAAGTTACAATTCCACATTGCAATTCTCCATAGTTTGGAGAGCAACACAAAAATAGCAATACAAAAATTCCACGTGTATTGATGGTTCTGCATTAATAATAACAAAGCAGCCAAAAACAGAGGCAGCCAATATGCTTGTCTAGGTGCTGTGGACTCCAGTTCCCATAAACCCCAAGCAGCATGGTCAACAGCCACTGATGGTAGCTGTTGTATCCCAGAGCCTCTGGAAGGTGGCATATTGTCTATCCCTGGTCTAAAAGACCAGCTGACGAAGGAAAGATAATCATAGTTTGCATTCGACATGTTTGTAGTTCTGAACCCGTTTTGATTTCAGATACAGTTTATTTCAGCATAGACCTAGTACCTACCTTATTAAATTCTCATTTTTATCAACAGGAAAGTTTGACGGTTATAAAAGCTAAAATTCCAACTTACTGTTCAATCTCCTCCTAAAGAGAGGTGTGACGAAGAGCCTCCTCGGAACTATTTGGTATTACTTATCTTCCCCATACTAAACTGTTGTGGAATGTCTTAGGGAAACGGGGATCAATATTTAAAAATGAGGACAAATGTTAAGAGCGAATATGCTCAAGACGTGTAAATTATGGAAAACACCAGAAATGATACTTGTTCCAGTACTTCCGCCAGGAATTGCAAATCAGTTTGTCTGGTTTATTACAGTCAATAGTAGGGATTACCCAGTTTTGTAAACTATAACCATAACAGTAACATTAATAATTCCTTGCTGTGTTTACATGTTTGGGTGTAGTTAGGTATGTTTAGCTACTGCAGTGAGTTAGAAATGAAGGCACAATCCAACCATAAGTTAATCACTATTAAAAGTTATGCTGACTTCAGTGGGAAGTTAAAATCAATAGGATTTGAAGGTGTTTGACTTTGCCTGGATTGTGCTATGATTAATTTATTTTGACCAAGAACTAACTCACTACTGTGTCCATAGAGAAAATTATTTTTATACTGTCTAGGGAAAAGCTGCCTTTCCCAAAAGGTTCTGGATAGGAAAATATATAAAATGTGTTTCACTGAACTGAGTCCTCTTTTAGTGCAAATTGTTCTGCTTTGAAAACATAGAAATTCCAAGTATTAAAAGACAACTAAAATATGCTTCAAGTATTAAAACTTATATATTAATAAAAGTGTTTGTGAATGTTGACTCCATGTAAGCCCTTTGGAAAAAACAAACTGAACCGCCATTCTGCATTTTTCATATTATTTTTTTTATTAAAGTGCACATATAATTTTCACAAACACTACAGCAAATTTCAAGTGTACATGTATTGTACTACTCATATTCCTACACTGGTGATAGCAGAGCAGCCTTCAACATGCCTCATTCCCATCTCTACACCAGAATAGATGCCTGCTTTACTTATATTTTTGCAAAAACAGTTTGCAGCTCTCTTTGGACTTCTGTAAGCTCTTCAGATCCTTTGTGCAGAAATGTCACAATTAAGGTTTGCAATTGTCTGGTACCAGTAGTTATATGCTTGTGGGCAGGCATGTAAGAATGATTTGAATATGTTGGAGGGGAGGGGGGGAAGACGCCTCTTTGCTGGCTACAGTTCAGCAATGATGTCTGTGTAAAAAGGCAGGGAGGAAAGTAGAAGGGCGCTTCTTGTACCCATTACTGCTCCATCTTGACACATGCTTCTTCCCTCTTCCCTCTAGTAGCCTTTAAAGAAAAAAAAGTTGCCTCCCCTTTCCAAAAAACCCCATTACCACCACTGCTCTTACATAACTGTTCTAATGAACTTATGCATCTTCCACCATAGTCAGAGGAGAAAAATAATTTCAAAACTTGCAGTCTAGTGTCCGGCATGACTCTATTCTGCTATGTATCCTGAGCAGTGAGTGCTTAGAAACTTAAAAATACATTCGTTCCTTTTTTACTACTAATTTTGGGCCAGTCCCACAGTTAAAAAGTAGTAGTTCAGTTCCTTCATACAGTTGCTTTAGTTAAACAAAGCAGCACTCATTGTAAAGCTAATTTCTGTCCTTTATGTGGGAGCGTAACACTTTAGTTAAAATTCAGACAGAATTTTACATAAACTGGTGATCTTAAAAGATGGAAGATGTTTGCCATAGGCAACCATTCAATAAATTGATCCAGTATCCATTTACTATAAAAAAAAAACATTCTTTTATAAAATGGGTTGATTGTGAAGTTAAAAAAATAATTGCAGGTTACTACGCAAAGATGGCCAACCCTTATGCGGACAGATTCTCCACTGAGCATAATGGAGTCTGCGTGTCTTCGGGGGGGGGGGCGGGGCGGGTTGGATTAGATGACCCTTAGGGTCCCTTCCAGCTCTGGGCACAAACATACATTTGACAAGTATGATGTGTGCTGCATCATTTCGGGGAATAGGGGACATGGGCAGGCTCAATGCATGGAGACTTCCCCTTCCCAGTAGTGATCTGTTGTGATGTCAGCATAAGGGAAGGCAGAGGAAACAGGACTCTACTGCACCCAAGGCGGATTGTGCCCAAACTGTAATTAGCTGTAATACCTTTAACTGAGAATTGTGTATAAACTCCTCTAATAGAAACAAGTAACAGATCCTGCCCTCTTCCTCTCTCCTGGATCTCTTCTATGAAGTTTTGGAGGTGATAATTCCATTTTCATTTTGGTTTCTTTGGATTATTCTCTGAATCAAATGAACTTTTTTTTAAGGACAACTACGTGAGCGTTGTTTAAGAGAACTATTTTACCTCAACTACTGGAAAAATACGGTCTCCGTAGGAAGGCTTTGATTAAACGAAACTTATTTGCGTTATACACATCCGTGTAAAGCTGAGCAATCCTGTTTTATGGTAAAAGTGGCAACAGCATTATGGATTTGTTGTTGCAGGATTGTTTATAACCGTCCATTTATTGAAGAAAGAACTGCGTGGAGTTAGATCACATTTTCAAAGAGCTGCATGGAACGCATTATATTTTCATCCTGTAAGAAAGAGACATCTCATCTGAGAAAGAGATTTAAAATCTGAAAGTGAAAAGTCAGAAATATTTTTAATCCAATATTTTCCTCCTTAGACTGAAAATCCACACCCTTTATAAATTTTCGGAATCATAACCAGCTAAAAGTTAGTACCTACTTTGTGTATGTCCAAGGGCTGGGGTCTTCCAGGTGGGATTTTTGATTATTATTTTTTTGACTAGATTTCTCCTATGCCACTATCACAAATCCTGCAAGTCTGCTGATTGTACAGTTTTGTTCTAAAGCCTAGTTTATATGTGATGCAGGCCACAGGTCTGCTACACAGCCCAGTGTTCTATACAGGCCCCAGTATGTTTGAAGACACATTGTTCTGCTAATAGTACCTGCTGCTTACAGTCTATCACAAATAATTTACAGAGAAAACATTGTGGGGAGCTGCTAAAGTTTGGCGATGGCATACAATTACAATCACAAGCCTAAAAATTAAACATGCAACTCACACCGGTTCTGTCTATCAAATATACCTTGCTGTTTATAGCAAAATCTGGATAAAACACAATGGAGGCAACAGGCACAGAACTTTGTAGGAATTGGCTTAAGAGCTTCAGGAGCCATGCCAACCTTCTGCTGCTGTTCTTGAGATGCGCCACAACCGCTACTGCGGAAGAAGCCAATGGAAAACCTCTGGCTCTCACACAGAATGTGCAAGCAAAGGGGAAAGCCAACCAAGGGCCACAGGTTGTGTTTGAGGCTGATCAGATCCGCTCCCTTAACTTTTAGCTTTTATTTTAAAAAGAAACCCTTTTGGAAATCAAGGGGAAATAGGCACGCAATATCCTACACAGTTCATTGGTAAAAGGTAAATTTCTTCTTACCTATTCTTGGCCAACGATTGCAAAGGTATTGGGATTATTGACAGGCAAGTGACTTGCTTGTTCATTTTATTCTCAGTAAAATGTTGTCTTATCCAAATGAATTAATAATCTACTTTAAATACAGTAATCCTGCAATTTACACAGGGGTTATGTTCCGGGGATCACGCCTAGAGCCAAAATGGCGTATAGTCAAAGCATATTGGGATCAGTGGTGGGCAGGATTGCCAAAGTCGTATCCCCCAAATGTTGCCCCGTTTCTGTTCCTATTTATTTATTTATTTATTTCGCCGTGTGCATAAAGATGAATGAGCACAGGTTAAAAGTGCATAAGTTGCAGGTTTACGGTATAACATATCCAACAACTTAAATTTAGGGTTTTTGCTGTTTGGCTTTGACATGCTTTCCATCCTAGCGTACACCTTAAAACACCTGGTTATGAGCCTCCTAACTGTGCATTGGGAGGACGCGGGTGGTGCTGTGGGTAAAACCTCAGCGTCTAGGACTTGCTGATCGTCAGGTCAGCGGTTCGAATCCCCGCGGCGGGGTGCGCTCCCGTTGCTCGGTCCCAGCGCCTGCCAACCTAGCAGTTCGAAAGCACATCAAAGTGCAAGTAGATAAATAGGGACCGCTTACTAGCGGGAAGGTAAACAGCGTTTCTGTGTGCGGCTCTGGCTCGCCAGATGCAGCTTGTCACGCTGGCCACGTGACCCGGAAGTGTCTGCTGACAGCGCTGGCTCCCGGCCTATAGAGTGAGATGAGCGCACAACCCTAGAGTCTGTCAAGACTGGCCCGTATGGGCAGGGGTACCTTTACCTTTACCTTTTAACTGTGCATTGATTTTTCCAGTGCACTTTGGCTACAGGGGAGAAAGGTAACTTTGCCAAGCGCTAGATATGACTTTGGCAGAGGGAGGCCTTCCTCTGTGTTCTATTTATACTGATGAAATGGGGAACAAAAAGACTATTCTCCAGCTTAGAGAAATTGCCTGGACAACCATTGATAAGTGAAGGGTTTTTATATCAAAAGGCCTTCTCTGAAAAGTGACTGTTCTTTTTTATTGAATGTGCCACTGCCTGCTTCAGTCTTTATGGCATCTTGTTAAAATTATTTCGGTTTACTGGATATACATTTTATATGTTCTGACATTTTCTCAAATAATTAAGGAGCATGTTGAGTAACAACATCCAATGTGATCTCCGAGGCCTGCCCTGTTGCATGTTAGAGAAACGCTTGCTGGATATTGGATTCTTATTGATTCTCACAGAAGGAAACTGTGAATGTTCAGCCTGGGGGAAGGAAGACAGGGCAGGATAGGCTGACACTATCTTCAAATACCTGAAGGGCTGTCATATAGAATCTGACGAAGCCTTGTTACTAGGTGCCCCAGAGAGGAGGACTAGATCTAGTGAGCTAAGTTGCAGGAACAGAGAGATTCTGGTTACATAAATAAACTTTTTGGTGTGGGCAGTTCAACAATGGAGCCAGTTACGTAGAAGCTCCCCCTTCCTGGTAGTCTTCAGGCAACATCTGTTGGAATATGCACCACCTCTGGATTTCTTGCACTGAGCAAGGAGCTGGACAGGTGAACATGGTCTCCCAATGGCCTTTCCAGCTCTATGATTCTATGAAATAATAAATGTGTTTTCTAAAATATGGACAATTTGTGATATACTGTACATGCCGCAGCTTCCTACTGCGGTTTTGTATTGTGTCATAAGAGCAAAGCACTACGAATATACCGGTTACTCACTTTTTGGCAGCTTTCAATGAATTCATCTATGGTGACCACGCCATCTTTGTTCTTGTCCATTTTCTGCCAAAGAAGAAATGCTTGCTTAAGTAATGTCGTTCTCCGGTTATGACTGCCGCCTTTCATTTCTATGAGAAGCCAGGTTAGGGGGACAGGTGATAGCATAATGGCTACCTAAGAAACTACTCCTACACTTGCCAGCATTTTATATTTCTTTTAACAAATCACAGGTGCTGAGCTTCAAATTTGCGGGCGTCTCAAACATTTTACCCACCCAAATGAAAGACTTGCAAAGTAGGCAAGACAAAAACGGAAATAAAGAAAGAAGGGGATTTGCTTAGTCAAATTAGTATAGGCGACATAGCAAGAAGAACAGGTTACATAGCCACACTGCAAACCATCAATACGATAACTATGACCATCATTTCACCTGGCTCCCCTCCCCCCAAATCGTACCTACCTGGAAAAACGTTTCCACGTGTTGTCTCGGGGCATCTTCTTTGACAACAGGATAAGTGCATTTCCCCATCATATCATATATAGCTTTCATAATATCCAGCATTTCCTGTTGGGGAGGGAACAAAACATTAAAGTGAGCAGGAAAATATGCAGTGGAAAATGCACAATTGGGGAAAGAGTTGAATTTACAAGACAGAAGCCTTGCTAGCACAGAAGTGAGAAACCTTCCCAAAAATAATGGGCAGGTGTTTCATTTGCAATGATGAAAAAGTAGTTGCATGAACTGCTAGAAATCAACATTTCTTAAGTTGCTGGGTGTTGCAGCTATCTCCAGCTGTCTTTTGCAGTGGAAACACATTTTCCTGTAGAAATGCCATCTCTAGATAAATCAGATGTTTCCAGGCCTACAGAAGCATTTTATCTGACCCAGGTAAAGGTAAAGGGACCCCTGACTGTTAGGTCCAGTCGTGGCCGACTCTGGGGTTGCGGCGCTCATCTCGCTTTATTGGCCGAGGGAGCCGGCATACAGCTTCCGGGTCATGTGGCCAGCATGACTAAGCCGCTTCTGGCGAACCAGAGCAGCGCATGGAAACGCCGTTTACCTTCCCGCAGGAAGTATTTATCTACTTGCACTGCATGCTTTCGAACTGCTAGGTTGGTAGGAGCAGGGACCGAGCACGCTATTTCCCCTAATATTCCACCTGCATCTTTCAAAAGCAATGTAAGAAATGGCCATCAGGTGGAAGCAGAAGACTGAGATAAACCCCATTGTGCCTCTTATTTCAGGAATCATCATAGCAAACCCCTCCCATTATTGGAATGCTGAGTGAATTCCATTTAATATAAGGAGACTCGGTCTTTATACTTAACAGAGATTCAATTTGCATTGAAAAGAAAACACTAAACAAAGTCAAGCAGCTGGTGGGGACAAATCTGAATTAAATTTCATTTCAAATGGTTATTTGGCCAAATCAGACACTTGCTCACTCCCTCTTGTAGGTTAGCTGTCCTGCCGCCTTTGGCCATACTGAATTTTTTTTTTTCTCCCTTGTTTGGAGAGAGTTTTCTTGAGTGAGTACTCAAACTTGCAAACATACACACATGCCGACAGAAATCAAATGACGGCACCTTTAGCGCTTGATTTGGCCGTTTGCATAACTTAGCCTGGTTGGGCAGGTGACTGGTACACATGGAGAGGTTAGCTTGAGTGCGGAAGCAACCCAAGCAGATGCTTGAAGCAGAAGCATTTGACAGTGTTATCCCGAGATCTCGCACTGGAGCAGAGGTGAGTGAGTCCCAATGTCCTGTATACAAGGGATCCTGATATTCGCCTCTTAGACTACAGCCACTTGGGATAGCAGGAAGTCCCTAGTCCTGGAATTAATCTACTAAAACCAATAAACAGCAGCCCCGTTACATGCAATTAATGACAAGTGATGAAGATGAAGACGATGGATTTTTCGGAGCTAGCCGACCTAACCGGAAGAGTCCGCGACCAGAAGGAAGAGGAGTATCAGGAAGAATGGAATAAATTTAATGATTATTTAGTTAAATTTGCTAAGTTAAACTAACTGAAAATAGCTTGCAGATACTTAATGGGCTAAGGATTTTATTTATGTTAAGTGATGAATTAATCTGTTTAATTCCATAAGGTGAAGATCTAAGGATGTTAATGCTTAAGCTAAATTTTATAAAAATTGGGATTTGGAAAACCGTTAAAAGGACATGCAATGAAATTCAACCAAAGGGAAGCGAGGAAGTCACTTAACAAAGTTAATAACTGTAATTTTCAATAAGGCTATGATTTATGTTTGTCTTGTGTGTTTGTTTGTTTATAATATTGTGAAAACTAATAAAATTGGGGGGGGATGACAAGTGTTTTCAAATTACAGTGAGTGAAATGGTCTCCTCACCTCTTTAGTTATACAGCCGTCCTTATTTATATCATACAGATTAAAAGCCCAATTGAGTTTTTCTTGCACCGTCCCCCGGAGTAAAATTGAAAGGCCCATAACAAAATCCTGAAAGAAAGCAAGATGGTGGATTAATAAAAGATCTATTTCCATCTGTTTTGCTGTGAGTCCTGCAATGCAGAGGTTTGGACTTGGTGACCCTATACTTCTGTTATCCCTGTGCGCGTGTGTCTGTGCTTGAGATGCAAAATTTGCCATCATAACAATGCTGCTTTTTAAAAAAAATCTGCAGAAACCAAAACCAAACAAGGTTGTCCTCAAAACAGAATGGCAGTTTTGCCTCCCTCCTTTGCATGGAAGACCCAAAAGCATGAAAGCTGACAGTCCAAAGTTATGGACCAATAGCTAAGTATAGAATAATAGAACTGTAGAGTTGGAAGGGACCATGAGGGTCATCTAGTCCAACCCCCTGCCATGCTGGTATCTTTCTTCACAACTTGAACTTGTGACCCTGGGATTAAGAGTCTCATGCTCTACTGACTGAGCTATCCCTGTCCCAGCAAGAAAAAGCACAAATAACAAAAGCAACTAAGGCTGAGCATGCAGGACCGGCCTATTGAACATACAGTGAATAACTATTTCATTACAGAGAATTCCTGATAACAACATTATAGAAGTGTAAAAACAGCTGAGAGTCACCCTGGGATTTATTTATACTGGAGGGTGGCCTAAAACAGAATAAACAATAAGTGGTACATCCAATTTTGTATGAGAAAGTAGTCTTCTGCACTTGTGTGTTCGCCTATGGGCAATAAACTCAATTAATTTAGTAATATAGAAGCTTCATCCCAAGAGGAATAAAAGTAATCTGAAAGTTACTGGGAATTTTTTCTGGTTGGCCACTGTGAGAGTAGGATGAAATAGTAGACGAGCCTTTGGCCTGTTGCAACAAGGCTCCCCTTATTTTTTTTATGTAAAGCAAAAGCTATATCAAACAGAGCAAGAAAGGTGTCGTTTGTACCGTATTTTTCGCTCTATAGGACACACTTTCCCCCCTCCAAAAATGAAGGGGAAGCGTGTGTGCGTCCTATGGAGCGAATGCAGGCTCCTTGGCTTCAGCGATAGCAACGTGAAGCCTCCGAAGCATAGAGGGAGAGCTCCCCCCGCGCTCCGGAGGCTTCACGTTGCTTTCGCTGAAGCCGCCTGAAGCCCCCAGAGTGCAGCGAATGCCCGCTGCACTCCGGGGGCTTCAGGCAGCTATCCGCAAGCCTTTCGGAGTGCAGCAGGAGTTCCCGCCGCGCTCCGAAGGCTTGCGGATAGCCGCCTGAAGCCTGGAGAGCGAGAGGGGTCGGTGCACACCGATCAGTCTTGTTCTCCAGGCTTCGCTGGAGAGGCGCTGCACAGTTTTCCCTCTGCGCAGCGCCCCTTCAGCGAAGCAGGAGGAGAAATGGAAGGGGCTCCGTTTCTCCTACCGCTTTGCTGAAGGGGCGCTACGCAGAGGGAGATTTTCCCCCCCTTCTCCCCCTCCTATGGTCCGGTGCGTCCTATAGAGTGAAAAATACGGTATTTGCTGACCTCAATGTTAACCAATGAGCGATACTCTTGTGGGCTCTGCATATCAGAAAAAACTCAGGAAAATGCAGACTCTTTGCCTGACCTCTAACCCAATCTAGCTAATTCATGGCACATCCTGAATTTATCGGCTTAAAATTCCAAGGAAAGAGGCTCCATGAGGCACTACAATCACTGGCAGCCCCGTTAGCATTCGTTGGAATCAAGGATTAGAACTGTCCATCGAACTTACACATAGAGAGAACATTTGCTGGAGCTAAGTGCACGTTGACCTGTGCAAAATGAAAATAACTTTCTTAACATAGCCAGTAACAAAGACCAAGATTGTGAAGGCCTGATGCATTCCTACATTTTATAAACATGCAGCAACATCCTAAAGAAAGCCACCAAAAAAATTACAGCTTTCTTGTGGCTGTTCTGTTGTGATGTGATAGGAAACAAAAAACCTGAATCTGGTCGTTCTGGTTGGCACGCTAATAGGACTGCGTCTGAAAATAGCTCTGTTGGTAAACCTGTTTGCTTTCCTCCCTGCCTATTCAAACTCGTACTCCTTTCAGAAATCTCCCGCTCTTCATACAACATTGTTCACAAGCACCAAAATACCGTTTGAGCTATAAGGGAGGCGAAAAGATGACCAAAAAAACCTACTCCTTCATATTTTGCTCCAGACAATAGAAAGGAAGGATCAGCAGACAGGCACACAAAAGATTTAAGGGGATCTGTTTCGAAGTGTTGGTGCCACAAGCCTCTCTCTGGGCTCTGCCACTCTGAGATTAGAAAGAAAAGAGGAGCTGTTCCCAAGCTGCAAATGAAGGCATCCGCACCATGAGCTTTCCCAAAGCCATTTTGACATGAGAGTTGACGCACAAGCATCCAGGGACAGGACTGGGAATTGCCTGTGATCAAACAAACCTAGCAATAGGTCCCCTATATTTTCGCCCCTGTCTGTTGAAAAGAATGTGTAAGGAACACTTCGACGGAGGAAAAGAGAATCATGAAAACAAACAGCGTCTCTCTCTTTTTCAACAGGGTTAACGCATATTTCACTTGTGTCATCTGAGGAAACCAAACGGGGATTATTTATTCACCCCGAGCAACATAGCAGATTTATATCTGAGCCTAAGAACATTTATTTAGAGATGTACAGGCCACTGATGTCAAAACAGCTTACATGTAAGGGACTGAGCTTTTGGGTCACAACCTTAAAGGCTTTATCCCGCATATTGCTAGCAAATACTTTAGAATTCCAAGCCTGGTCACTTCTGGCAGACACTACCCCTATTTTAAAAGAAAAACACTCGTCCTCGTGGCAAAAAAAATCACTACTAACCTTATTTTAATCTTACATTTAGAATAACATATAGAAACAAGGAATGTATTGGAAGATGAAGGAAGTTGAAGATGAAGAACTGAGCCTGGCAAATTAAAAGATCTCCCTTTTTCACTTCCTTTTCCTTCTTTCTCTAGTTTGATAGCAGAACTCATTTTAACCTTTTCATAATGATATCAATATTATTATGAATCATCAATATCAATATCAATTCGTCAGGGGAATGAAAGTACAGTGGTACCTCTGGTTACGTAATTAATTCGTTCTGGAGGTCTGTTCTTAACCTGAAACTGTTCTTAACCTGAAGCACCACTTTAGCTAATGGGACCTCCTGCTGCCACTGCGCCTCCGGAGCAGGATTTCTGTTCTCATCCTGAAGCAAAGTTCTTAACCCAAGGTAATATTTCTGGGTTAGCAGAGTCTAACCTGAAGCGTATGTAACCTGAAGCGTATGTAACCTGAGGTACCACTTTAGGAGGGCTAGATAAATGAGAATTTGTCAAAAGTAACATTTGATTGGCTTTTACTATGCTATTAAAGCATCGGTTAATCTTTGCATATTTAGTAAAATATTGATACAAATGTGAGCTTTTACAGTGATTTCTGTTTCTTTCTTGGAGTAAGTCCTACTAAATCCAGATTGCAAGTATAGATACAACACACTACATTTAAGACCTTTCTGATCATTTGCGTATCTATCTTTTTTATACGTTTCAGCTTCTTTGTTGTAATTGAAACTTTGAAAAGTCATGATACTTCAGAAAACTGAAGTACAGCCCTGTTGAACTCCATGAAAAATATGCTTAATCCTCTCACTGGAATCAAAGGCACTTTAAACTTTGGCTGGATCAGATCCTACCAGAGAAACCAGGTGGCAAGAACAGAAATAAACAGCCTTACCTCAAAACTCACACTTCCGTTGTGATCTGTGTCAAATGCGTTGAACAGAAAATGTGCGTATGTTGTGGAATCTGCAATGTAAACAAGGTTGTTCCTTATTAATTGCATGAATAAAGAAACCCAATTCAGCAGCCTTATAAAGAAGAACATTTCTCCCCCAACCAGTGGAATTCAGCGCCAGGCTTTAATACTTTAATTTACTGGGAACATTTAGGGAACTGTAGTCCATTCACCATACACCACTACCCCCAACTAATTATTATTTTCCTCTGTTATGAGAATTATAAGGTCTAAGATATAAAATGTCCATGGATGCACCAGGCAAACACATGCATGAATCTATAAAGCATATGTCTAAAACAGTACAGGAAAACAGTCCTGAAACCATTTTGACTCTCCCAAATTGACCTCAAATGTTTCTCTGCAAGGAGGAAGGAAATGGAAAAATCTCCCCATTGCTCACAAATCCTGTCTTAAGGGTATATATTTGTGTATGAATAGGGACGCGGGTAGCGCTGTGGGTTAAACCACAGAGCCTAGGACTTGCCAATCAGAAGGTCGGTGGTTCAAATCCCCGCGACGGGGTGAGCTCCCGTTGCTCGGTCCCTGCTCCTGCCAACCTAACAGTTCAAAAGCACGTCAAAGTGCAAGTAGATTAATAGGTGGGAAGGTAAACGGCATTTCCGTGCGCTGCTCTGGTTCGTCAGAAGCGGCTTAGTCATGCTGGCCACATGACCTGGAAGCTGTACGCCAGCTCCCTCGGCCAATAAAGAGAGATGAGCGCCGAAACCCAGAGTCAGCCACGACTGGACCTAATGGTCAGGGGTCCCTTTAGGGTGCGCCTGTGACCTGGATTCAGGAACTGAGTGTTTACCACCACAAAAGAATGGCCAGGATACCCAGGTAAAAGCAGTCAGTGACCATTATCAGGTATCCTGGCAGACAGGTTTTCTGCTGTAGGTCGCCCCTTCTGTGATGTATGTATGATGTTTTGGGGTGGTGGTCTTGAGCTACAGGCTGGGCAATTTCAAGTCTATATAAGGACTTGCACACCATTGTTTGGGGTTCCTCTCCTCCCTCCCTGCGTGGGGTGAGTGGGGGACCCTGTTGCAACAGTTTAATACAGATCAGGCTTACTAGCTGCTTTGCTTCTCAATATGCTCTGCTTGGCCTCTGTTATTTTCTCCTACTGATAGGGAACCTACATAAGGACTTTATACGAACCCTTGGATACCTTATAAGGGAAAAGGAGCAGCTTTTCTTATATCACCTCTTTCAATAAATATTAGCCAGAAGTCCTCAGAAAAACAGACCAAGTGGCATGAGCTGTGCTTTGGCTATTATCCAGATACTATCCAGAAATTGTTTATGGATCTGTACTTCTATTTCCACAGAAAATACCCTAGAGATGCACATATCAAGTCCAAGCACTGGAAAATATGTGAAGATTCACGTGAAGCACGTGAATCTCTCGACTGGTGTGTGTGTCTATTGCTGCGGAGCTAATTTAAGTATCTCAAATTCTGCATTCTCAGAATTCTCAGAATATTTCATAATTCAGTTTGAAAAGGAAGAGGGTAATCTTCAGCAATGTCCACCAAAGCCTTGCTTTTTGTTATGTTCAGGGTTAAAGTAAGGTGTGTATTCTAAGAACATCTGTTGATATTAACTTCATTTTCTGTAACACATAGTAGCTATAGATAGCAATATTATCACATACTCTTATTCACATTTCTTTAAAGACTTGTCACTTTTTTTATAACAGCTGTCAAAAAAATCACTTGTGATTTTGATCACCATCATCATAATTAATGGATGCAGTCCAACCAAAGTTTAGCACTTTATAGGGTGGAAGAAATGCTATAAATAAGTCAGAAATTGAATCGTTATAACAAAAGGGAAAAAAGACTACAGAAAATCACAAACTTTTTTTTTGCTCTCCACCGCCACCTGGTGTTGCATGTTTATAACAAACTCAAAACACTGTTTTTTTCACTAATGTAGCTGAGTCCACAGTTAACATTCCCAATGAAATCAATTGATGCTGTCTAACAACAATATCAGGGGACACGGGTGGCGCTGTGGGTAAAAGCCTCAGCGCCTAGGGCTTGCCGATCGAAAGGTCGCGGTTCGAATCCCCTCGGCGGGGTGGCTCCTGTTGCTCGTCCGACCTGCCAACCTAAGTCGAAAGCACCCCCGTGCAGTAGAAAATAGGACGTTACTGGCGGAAGGTGACGGCGTTCGGGCTCGCCTGCCAATGCAGCTTTTTCGTGGCCAACAAAGGTTCCGACAGCTGGCCCCGCCTCTGAGTGGAGGGCGCAACCCCAGAGTCTGTCAAGACTAGCTGTACGGCAGGGTACTTTACTTACCTATACAACAAATAAAACTGCCTGTAACAGTTTAAAATATCAGAATGCACTGATATTATTGATTATGTTATGGAAAATATGCTATGACAGGAAAAATAATTTCAGAGGAGGAGAAAGGTTCACAAAGGCCCAAAGGTCCCACATCGATAAACATTCAGAATTAAACTGAAACCCATCAATCAACAGTATATTTGAACACCACTGTTTTTAAACCTCATAAAAAACTACCGTATGCTGGTGTTATCAGCAACCTTTTGTTTCGTTTTCGTTTAAAGTTTGTTGATTATCATTTTTATAGGATAGTTGTTAGCTGCCTAGAATTTTCGAATGGAAATAAAGTATTTCCAATGAAACCAATCTTATTTGAATAAAAGGATTTCAATCTTTATTTAGCATGCATATCTAGACTAGTACAGAGGCCCATTTCATTTTCTGAAGACATCTGAAGGCAGCCCTGTTTAGGGAAGTCTTTAACCTTTGAAATTTTATTCTGTTTTTAATCTTCTGTTGGGAGCTGCCCAGAATGGCTGGGGAAACCCAGCCAGATGTGCGGGGTAGAAATAAATAAATCAGTTGTTGTTGTTTGTTGTTGTTTCTACAATAGCTGGTGTACAGTATATAACATAGCACCATGAGGAATTTTGCTACAGCAAACCATTGCCTCTTCTTCCTTCCTTCCTAATAGAAGCATCTAAGGAGGGGAGTAAAAACAAACTGTAGCAGTCAAACCACCCAATTCCATGTTCTGCCTGTCTTGTGCTGGCCAGAATGGAAGGTGCACAGGGTTGGCTGAAATGAAAAGATATACCAGAACCAGGCCTGGCAGAATCCCCACCCCCATGCCCCGCCCTGGTGGTGTTTGGGGAGAATGGGAGGGCTGTGGATGCCATGGGCTCAAACTTTCCTCCAATCCATCTGTGTCCCTTTTGCCATTTCCAATGGCAAAGTGAGAACAGTGGAGGGCAAATGGCGGAGGTCCTTTTCAACATGGCTGGGAGGGACCAGGGAGAGGGAATTTGCAAAATCCTACAGGACCCGGAATAATATCCTCCTGGGAGCCATAGGATTGCTGTCCTTTCATGGTGATCCTGATTTGTAGGATCCTGAATTAATTAGAATTTTATTCCCTATTAACCAGTTTGAACACTTCTTTTCTTTCTTCATTTCTTGCATTTCCCTCTTTATTGGTATGTGGCAATTTAAAAAATAAATAGGAAAACAAGCAATGCGTGCTTTCGTCGTGTCATTTGTCAGATCGCAGCCACTGAACAGAATCAAAGGTTTTAAACCACACTCTGCAAAAGCCAATAAAGAAGAGTACCAGATTTACAGGACTGTACCTTTAAGACATTTCAGTTAATTCCAGTGGTTTCACAGCCTTCATTCAATAAAATATCCAAGGCAGTGAAGACAATTGTGATTAAACATAAGCCAAAGGTTGTAGTCCTTAAGCTTTTAATTAGAGCTACTTAATGTGATTTCTTTCCCACTAAGTCTGGAATATAAATCAGGACAGAGAGGGGGAGTGTTTCAGGTTTTTCTTTTAAAACAATTAAATAAGTTTCTGGTTTTGTACCTAGAAATGGTAACTATGATGATCTATTAGCATTCTGGCAGGTGGCAGCAGGAAGCAATAGAGAGTGCTAACATCTTAAGAGACTCAGACCATGCAATATCTGGGGTCCAATAGCTTCATTCTCAGTGCAACATTGGCACATTCACAGCAACTATAAAGGTAAAGGTACCCCTGCCCGTACGGGCCAGTCTTGATAGACTCTAGGGTTGTGCGCCAATCTCACTCAAGAGGCCGGGAGCCAGCGCTGTCTGCAGACACTTCCAGGTCACGTGGCCAGCGTGACAAAGCTGCATCTGGCAAGCCAGCGCAGCACACGGAAATACCGTTTACCTTACCGCCAGTAAGCGGTCCCTATTTATCTACTTGCACCCAGGGGTGCTTTCGAACTGCTAGGTGGGCAGGTGCTGGGACCGAGCAACGGGAGCTCACCCCGCCACGGGGATTCGAACCGCTGACCTTTCGATCGGCAAGCCCTAGGCGCTGAGGATTTTACCCACAGCGCCACCCGCGTCCCCACAGCAACTATACATCAGGTCTAATCAGACGTTGGAGGGTAGACTTATTACTTTGGTGGCTGAGAAGGTGGGGCAGGAGTGGTACTTTAAATGTTCACCTTGGTTCAGGTGGTGGGGTGGAATGGTTAAAGTGGTTAAAGCCTATAAGAAAACAAATTAAATTGGAAAGGGACCAATTTATTGGAAAGCAAGAGCGTCACGGTCTTACTCAACTGACCTTAGCAGAATGGAAAACCTACACCAGAAACCAACAAGCCTGTTTTAACCAGGTTTCTTATTTTTATTTTTGTAATGTCCGTTTTTGAACACACACACACACACACTAGATGTCCATTGTGGTTCCTTCCAACTCTTAAGATTCCATGAACACTGGGACACACGAGACACAAATCCGCCTGCATCCAAAGCAGATGTTGGACCACCAAGCTGTGGTTCTCCCCCTTGTGCCTTTTTTCAAGACATGAGAAAGTGAATGGATGGCATCTTCAAGTGGAAAGATCCGGTGAAGAACGGCTTAAGAGCACGAGATTGTGGGCAACTCCTATTCAATTCAATGGGACTTGCCCAAAAGAAATCCCCACTCGATTGCTCTTAAAGAACGACGAGTGAAAACACAATTATACCCTGGCCATGTAGCTGATTGTTATGTACTGAAGTCCTCACCCTGGGCCAGCAGGGGGATACTGTAGATAGTTATGCAAATAAGTGATCGAAAGTGACGTTCAGTGATTGGATAGTTTTAGAAAATTGTTACAGTTATGTTGTACTGGAGCTCTATATAAGCAGGCTGACTGAACCCTTCAGTTCTGTTCTGGCCTGTGAATAAACAAGAGCTGTTTGAAGAATCGCTGTGTCGTCTGATATGTTCACCCACAACTTAACACTGTAAAATATACAAAGGGGGAAAACGTTGAAGACAGAGAAGTCGTAATAAATGCTAGAAGAAAAAGTTGAGTAACGAGAGGGGAAAGAATACTAAGTGGGTGATTGCATATGACCCACACTATACTCAAATGTATAAGATCTGGAAATTACCAGTGACAAATGCCCAGTTTTGTTGAGAGAAAGAAAGCAGCAGGCCTAGCATAACAAAGGAAAACCCAGAGAGATAATTGGGGAATCACAAATCCACACCAGCTTTAGGCTTTGACTCACTGTTCAGCTGCCGCCTACATTTCCTTCTGCACTCACAAATGTAAGATACTGTAGGAGGGGAATAATCGTGAACATACAGGCACATATAGAGCTTATAAAGAATTATCTGCTGTGTTCCAAGTTCTCATGAACTCACAGCAATTTCCCAGGAGGGTGGGCCCTCTTAAATCTCCAACTTTTATTTTCACAATTAAAGACTCTTTATCAGTTAGAACACTTGGAACAGGCAAGCTTAAACTCTTCAGTGAGGGCTTTATTTTAGATTTTGGAGATTAGGGCGACAAAGAGATTTCAGTAGAGGGAGCATGGCAAGGTTCTAAGGCCAACTCTTGAATGGATTCAAATTAAATCGCAAGCACAGCAAAGGAAAAAACCCCTATGCAAATGTTAAGAGCACTTGTAGCTAATTTCTTTTTCTATGCTTCATTATATGTGTAGCAATGTAATTAAGATATTCACAAGCAAACTCTAGATGGCCCTGACAGCTACCCACCTCAGTCATTTAACAGAGAACCAAAGTCTTCAAGGAGACTTGGAGGAATGCTAATGGGCCTTTCTTAAAGACACTTCAGGGTTAAATAATATTTTGACTTTTTGGATATTGTTTGAATATAAAAATGGAGCCTCATTGCTGCATGCTACAGCCTTGTAGAGTGAATACAGTCGTACCTTGGATCCTGAATGATGCCTTGCCAGTCGAACGTTTTGGCTCCCGAATGCCGGAAACCCAGAAGTGAGTGTTCTGGTTTGCGAACATTTTTGGAACCTGGATGTCCGACGGGGCTTCAGTGGCTTCCGATTAGCTGCAGGAGGTTCCTGCAGCCAATCAAAAGCCGCGCTTTGGTTTCCAAGCATTTTGGAAGTCGAACGGACTTCCGGAACAGATTCCGTTTGACTTCCGAGGAATGACTGCATTCCAAAGTTGTAGCTAAGAAGCCCCTCTGATAAAGTGTTTTTCACTTGAGTGGACATAGAGTGCTCTGCAGATCTGCCTGCTTACTTGCTTTAATATTAAGATGCTGGGAATTTAACAGAGAAGAGAAATGAATGAATGATGGATATCTGCATATCTTGTTGACTTTTAATCCAGCCTTAAGGTAAAGGTAAAGGTACCCCTGCCCGTACGGGCCAGTCTTGACAGACTCTAGGGTTGTGCGCTCATCTCACTCTATAGGCTGGGAGCCAGCGCTGTCCGCAGACACTTCCGGGTTACGTGGCCAGCGTGAAAAAGCTACTCTGGTGAGCCAGAGCCGCACACGGAAACGCCGTTTACCTTCCCGCTAGTAAGCGGTCCCTATTTATCTACTTGCACCCGGGGGTGCTTTCGAACTGCTAGGTTGGCAGGCACTGGGACCGAGCAACGGGAGCGCACCCCACCGCGGGGATTCGAACCGCCGACCATGCAATCGGCAAGTCCTTAGGCGCTGAGGTTTTACCCACAGCGCCACCCGCGTCCAGCCTTACTTTTAATCCAGCCTTACTTTTAACTTTTTAAAAATCCATTCACTTTATTTACAGGAGTGCCTGGCGTGCTCTAGTTCATGGGGTCACGATGAGTCGGACACGACTAAGCGACTAAACAACAGCAACACTTTATTACTATCCAAGAAACCATATCTTTATAATATTTGTCCCTTGTCTAAGTCTGGGATGGGGAACTGGATCTGGGTGGTGGGCCAAGTCTTGATCTCCCCCACCCTGTGGTAATCACATGGTTAAAGGTAAAGGACCCCTGGACGGTTAAGTCCAGTCAAAGGCGACTATTGGGTTGTGGCGCTCATCTCGCTTTCAGGCCGAGGGAGCCGGTGTTTGTCCACAGACAGCTTTCCAGGTCATGTGGTCAGTAGGACTAAACCGCTTCTGGCGCAATGGAACACTGTGACGGAAACCAGAGCGCATGGAAACACCGTTTACCTTCTACTTGCACTGGCATGCTTTTGAACTGCTAGGTTGGCAGGAGCTGGGACAGAGCAATGGGAACTCACCCCGTTGTGGAGATTCAAACCGGCAACTTCTGATCAGCAAGCCCAAGAGGCTCAGTGGTCTAGACAACACCATGACATCAGGTGGGCTTTTTTGCCATGTGCTTGCAGAGCCCATTTCAAAGAGCTCCACAAGATCGAAAGGGGCTTAGCAAGACCTGACAATGAGCCCCTTTGAAGTGCTTTGCACGGGGGCTTTTCAAGCACTGCCAATCAGATCATTTAAGCAGAACTCCCTCCTGCTGCAGTTTCCCCAAAGCTCAGTACTGAGTTCTGCAAGACCCTACCCACTTGGGCTCCTTTGGGGCCTCAAGGCTTTGTTAGTAAACAGGGCGACAGGGAATATATGAATTTAACTATTGCTTTTGTTACTTGTCCAGAGCCTTTGGGATGGAGCGAGCTGTACATCTAAGCAAACAAATTGCAGATGGTGTGCTTTTATAAATAGATATTGCTAGTAGGTATTTCCACTCTTTAATTAAAACCCCGAAGTACTTCTGTCCACCCATTAAGTAGTATAAAAGGCTTAATTAACTAGAACAACAACCTGTTTAGGCCAAATTTCAAAGCAATTATGGCAATTGGTTGTGCATGCAAACAAGACTAATTATGCGCAGAGTACTCACCTCCCTGTGGGAAGAACTGAGAGTAAATCTCTTTGAAGGTCTCTTCATTAACAATCCCACTGGGACATTCCTAAGGAAAGTGGCAAGGAATGCATATAAATAACATGCCCATGTACAAATTGTACAAGAGACTGCAAACAGCGAGGATTTTACCACTACCAAACAGAGATTTCGAAAACTACTTTACAAAAGTTCTTTTCTGCTAAAGGGGCCAAAGCCTGTCCAAACTCTATTTCTCCAGAAGCAGGGAAGTTCACATACGAGCTCCTCCATCTCCTAGCAGGGATATTCACTGCAAGGAGAAATGTGAGTAGCATTGTTAGATTCCTGACACATTCTACGCTGTTCACATTAAAAGAAGTTGAGCTGATATCTGCAGTGATCAGTGTGATCTGATTCAAAGAGGAACTAGATTCAAAGAGGAACTATCCTGATTCAAAGAGGAACTAGAAAGATAATTTGCTGAGCAAAGTGAGGCTATTGGAAGAACTGGCATCGGTCAGGGGGACACCATTATGTTTCAACCCCACCTTGATCTCTGTGCCCATTTACAAAAGATGTACAGTGCACCAAACTATAATACAGTAGTGCCTTGGTTCTCGAACTTAATCCGTTCTGGAAGTCCGTTCCAAAACCAAAACATTCCAAAACCAAGGTGCGCTTTCCCACAGAAAGTAATGCAAAACGGATTACAGTAATCCGTTCCAGGCTGTTGAAAAACGACCCCTAAAATGCTTCTCCCCACTGTCCCAGTCAGTGCGATCTTTCAATCTCTCTCTCTCTCACGTCAAAGCAGATGGTCTGCAGAGCGCTGCCGGGACGCTTCTCCCCACCGCCCCAATCAGCGTGGTCTCTCTAAAAATGGAAGCGCAACACTAAAAACGGAAGCTCAGGACACGTTCGACATCCAAAAAATAATTCAAGAACCGGAACGCTCACTTCCGGGTTTGCGACATTCGGGTTCTAAGTTGTTTGTGAACTAGGCTGTTTGAGAACCAAGGTACCACTGTATCTGCTTTTATAACTGAGATTTTAGAACAAAGGTTGTTGAGCATATTTAGGATGCAATTCTAGATATCAAGTTTGTAGTGAGGCTTGAGGCTTTCACACACACACACACACACACACACACACCTCTGTTTTCAAGAAGACCAAAAATATGTAGAACATGCCTTCTTTGTGATCAGGTCAGGTGCCTGAGGGTGTTGTGGGACCTGGCTCTGTTTTTGAGGGCCGAGTAGGGTTGGTGGCCAAGAAGAGAAACTAAAGGTGATACCAAGGTTCTCAGGAAATGGGTTGTGGAAATCATTTTCTTGGTAAACAAACTACTGCTTTGATTGGCTGAGAGATGAAAGGCACAAGTGTTTTCTAGATAAGGTTGCTAGAGAGAAAGCGAAGAAGGAGAGATGTTTCTGTTTGTTTAGCTATGGCTATCAAAAGCAGGGGACGCGGGTGGCGCTGTGGGTAAAACCTCAGTGCCTAGGACTTGCCGATCGTATGGTCAGCGGTTCGAATCCCCACGGCGGGGTGAGCTCCCGTCTTTCGGTCCCAGCTCCTGCCCACCTAGCAGTTCGAAAGCACCCCTAAGTGCAAGTAGATAAATAGGTACTGCTTCATAGCGGGAAGGTAAACGGCGTTTCCGTGTGCTGCGCTGGTGCCGGCTCGCCAGAGCAGCTTCGTCACGCTGGCCACGTGACCTGGAAGTGTCTCCGGACAGCGCTGGCCCCCGGCCTCTTAAGTGAGATGGGCGCACAACCCTAGAGTCGGACACGACTGGCCCGTACGGGCAGGGGTACCTTTACCTTTACCTTTTTATCAAAAGCAGAAGGGAAGTCCAGACTCACCCTCAAGATGTGACTTCATCAGACATAATGAAAATAGTGCCCAATGTGCCTTAAAAGAGAAATAACTTCCCAACTGAAGCTACTGAGAAACAAGCTGTACCTGAACAATGGGGGGGGGGCAGCTTAGATACACATTCCTATATATCAAAACCCTACGCACTCCTTGGTCCTAAATGGGTAAACTGTGCCCCTGAAGGACCAGGTGTGCAGCCTGGGAGTCATTTTGGACTCTCAGCTCTCCATGGAGGCCCAGGTCAATTCTGTATCCAGGGCAGCTGTTGACCAGCTCCATCTGGTACGAAGGCTGAGACCCTACCTGTCCGTGGAATGTCTCGCCAGAGTGGTGCATGCTCTAGCCTGCGTGGACTACTGCAATGCTGCTTTTGAAGGTGACTCAGAAACTACAACTCATCCAGAATGCAGCAGCTAGGCAGGTGATTGGGAGTGGCTGCTGGGACCACACAACACTGGTCCTAAAGGATCTACCCTAGCCTCGAGTGCATTTCTGAGTGCGATTCAAAGTATTAGTGCTGACCTTTAAAACCCTAAGTGGCCTCAGCTCAGTATACCTGAAGGAGCGTCTCCACCCCCATCGTTCAGCCCGGACACTGAGGTCCAGCTCTGAGGGCCTTCTGGCGGTTCCCTCTCTGCGAGAAGTGAGGTTACAGGGAACCAGGCAGAGGGCCTTCTCAGCAGTGGCATCCGCCCTGTGGAATGCCCTCCTATCAGATGTCAAGGAGATAAAGAGTTGCTTAACTTTTAGAGGACATCTGAAGGCAGCCCTGTTCAGGGAAGTTTTTTTTTTATGGCTGGTGCTTTTTTGTGCTTTTAATATTTTGTTGGGAGCCTCCCAGAGTGGCTGGGGCAACCCAGTCAGATGGGTGGCATATAAATAAAACAATAATACTTATTGTTATTATAAAATGAAATCCTCCATCAGGTGTGTTCAAATTTGAACTCCTCAGACAGCGCTGGACTCTCTAGAGAAAGTTATGACTTCAGGCATGAGAGTTCAGGTACAAGAGCATTTCACCATGCAAGGCTTTCAAAATATTCTCTTTAGTTACATACTCTGCCATTTATAAAGTACCCATACGTCATTATTACATCTTATTTCACCAGCTAGTAATAGAAGGGGTATAAGGAATGTTCGTTACCAAAGTTTGGACCAAGAAGCTGCAGGAAAGCCCTCACAAAATGGCTGGCTTAGGGGTTCATGCTTCTAACTTCCTTTCTGTCATGAACAGCAAAAGCTGCCGTTTTAAAAATTCCACACACAAAATCCTACTATTTACAATGGTCTGTAATAAAACTTAAAGTTCTGCTTTCTAGTGGGAGTTTCAGCATTCTTAGACACAAGAGGGCAGCAATGTGCTCAATAACAACAACAACAAAACCAAGTCCATTGTATAGTATTTCAGCATCCTATCACAGCACCACAATATCTGTAAGCAACCATATGATTAATTATGTGGAAGGGGAATAATAAAAATGATCTTTTAAGATTCTTAGCTTCTCGAGTAATTTATCAGATTTGAAAAGTGCAATGCGTTTCATCATGCAAGTCCTCTAGCTATGGGTGTGTGTCTTAAGGGTGTTTTGAACATGACTGCCACTTGGAGATCAACTAGAGGGCAGATTTATCGCAGTCCAAGTGTTACACCAACAATACGTTAATTTCCTGAAGCAGCTAAATATAGCAGTTTTATTTTCGGAATAGCCAATCCTCAGTAGGCTTGCTCAGACATACTGTTCTTTTCCAATTCAGCACCCTTTTGCTATGCGTATGTTTCAGTTTCCAATATTCTGCCAACATTTCTTGGTCACAAAAAGAAGCCACAGCAGCGCTACACAGATAGGAGCTGGCTTGATTCTTCACAGCTCCCACTCAGTCCAATAAGCCAAAGGTCCAGTTCACATATCATGTAAAGGTAAAGGGACCCCTGACCATTAGGTCGAATCATGGCCGACTCTGGGGTTGCGGCGCTCATCTTGCTTTATTGGCCGAGGGAGCCGGCGTACAGCTTCCGGGTCATGTGGCCAGCATGACTAAGCCGCTTCTGGCGAACCAGAGCAGCGCACAGAAACACCGTTTACCTTCCCGCCGAAGTGGTACCTATTTATCTACTTGCACATTGATGTGCTTTCGAACTGCTAGGTTGGCAGGAGCAGGGACTGAGCAACAGGAGCTCACACCGTCATGGGGATTCGAACCGCCGACCTTCTGATCGGCAAGTCCTAGTCTCTGTGGTTTAACCCACAGCGATAAGTCACTGCTAATAGTTTGTTGCGTGTGAAGACCCCCAAACCCCCTCCCAAATAAATCACACAGGAAACAGAATATTTGTTTAAGATATTTGGTGTTAATTTGGCCACAACTTTATTGATTACAGCATGTGAGTGGTTGCTTAGGCATTGGTTCAGACCAGTGGCGTAGCGTGGGGGGTGCAGGGGGTTAGGGCAAATCCACAGGTTAGGGGTGCAAATCCATGGGTTAGGGGGCGCAAATCCACGGGTTAGGGGGTGCAAATTACTTGCCTTGCCCCGGGTGCTGACAACCCACGCTACGCCACTGGTTCAGACTACCTGAACCTGCACTGGCAGGAACAGGACTGACAACTGGAACCTCCAGAGGTCAGTAAGGGAAAACATACTGGGGGAGCACAGAGGTGGATTTCCGCCTCTTAGTTCACCCCAGATGCTCCCAGGAACTCTGGCATGGCCCTACCCCTTAGAGGGGATCGGACAGAGCAAATCGAGCCCCTGGATTCCTTTAACGGAATTCCCTAGCAGCAGCAACAACAACAAATGAGGGGCAGGCACAGCCAATCCATAATCCCCTCCACCAAAGAATGAAGAAGAAGAGAAGAGGAGTTTGGATTTGATATCCCGCTTTATCACTACCCGAAGGAGTCTCAAAGCAGCTAACATTCTCCTTTCCCTTCCTCCCCCACAACAAACACTCTGTGAGGTGAGTGGGGCTGAGAGACTAGTGTGACTAGCCCAAGGTCACCCAGCAGCTGCATGTGGAGGAGCAGGGAAGCGAACCCGGCTCACCAGATTACGAGTCCACTGCTCTTAACCGCTACACCACACTGGCTCCAATGCCTAACCAATGCCTTACTGCCAAACTTACAAAGTTGTGACGATTTGCTACATGGTTGGCAAAAACCAAATGGCACCAGACACTGTGATATACTTTAATGACAGCAGTATATGAGTGTTTAAAATAAAATAATTAGCTAGGATTTTGTAAGTGCAGAAATGAAAGGAAGATGAGGTTCCAACCAATGAAGAATGGATAAGTAAGATAACGGGCCTTGCAAAACTGGCAAAATTAACAGCAAAACGAAGAGAATCTAATGATGACTGTTTTATGGAAGAATAGATGCTTTTTTTAGTCTATTTAAAGAAATATTATAGTACGATGAATTCGCGGGCAGGATTTGAGCTATGAGCAACAACAGAAGTAATTCAATTATAATATTGTGGTTATGATTTGATAACTGGAAGATCGGGTTCAGCAGAAGGGGTGCACCCCTTCCGGAGCTGTTACTTGCTGTGCAATATTAGCATGAAATTGCAAGCAGATTTTTTGAACTTTGTTGTGTTTATCTTCTTGATATTTCATATAACTAGATGATTCTGACAATAACTGCAATAGTCAGAGGTTCTTGCCTCTGAGGTCACCACTGTGTAGACTGTGTAGAAATAGGAACTGGGGTCACAAAGATAATAATAAAAACCAGTTTGGAAAAAAATGTGTTAGCTGCTTTGATGAAAAGAAAAAGAAGAGAATCGGGTTTTTTTCTTCAGGAATAAACTTTAGCCACTTCATTACAGCTAAGAATATTGCTTCTACTCACAGTCTCTGTCATGACCTTCCAGGACAAGATAGGATTTCATTTTTTAAAAATAGAAACCTAACAGTAAAAGAAGATGAAAGAGAATCTACTTTAAAAAAATAGTTTGCCCAGAGCAAACTTATTATTTTGCTAGGTTCCAGGCAGTTTGACTACCCAAACTCTGTATTTCCTCAAATGCTTAATCATTAACTCCTATTACACTAGAGATGACACAAAGTTTAAAATGAAAGAACCCTAGTTTTAAATGCTATGTTCTGCACGCTGATGGGCATCAAAGGTTTAGAGAACTTTGAAGAAGTGTCAAAAGTAGTGTTATCAACCTACTGAATATTTAGTTGATAAATAAGCAGCCTTTTGGGACGGGGGTTTGAAAATGGAATACAAGCAATTTATTCTGAGCAGAAAGCCAAACTAATAGTGAACAATGTGGTGTCGGAGGAATTTAAAATTGAAAAAGGGACACGACAGGGGTGCCCTCTATCCCCTCTTTTATTCATCTCAGTCCTGGAGGTGCTATTGAACATGATAAGGGAGGACCGGAGGGTACAAGGGATAGAGGTCGGAGTGAAACAATACAAACTGAAAGCTTTTGCAGATGATTTAGTTTTGACATTGCAGGAGCCAGAACCTAGTACAAAAAGAGCTCTGGAACTTATATCTGAGTTTGGCCGAGTGGCGGGGTTTAAACTGAACAAACAAAAAACTAAGGTTCTGACTAAGAATTTGACACCTACAGAAACAGAGGGATTTCAGAGAGAAACAGAATTAAATGTGGTCAAAAAAGTGAAATATCTAGGGATTTATTTGTCTTCCAGAAATTTGAATTTATTTAAAGATAATTATGAGAAATGTTGGTTGGAAGTTAAAAAAGATCTAGAAATTTGGTCAAGATTGAAACTTTCCTTGCTGGGAAGAATTGCTGCTATAAAAATGAATGTATTGCCGAAAATGCTGTTTTTGTTTCAAACCTTGCAGATTGTGGACAGAGTGGAATGTTTTGGAAAGTGGCAGAAGGACATATCCAGGTTTGTCTGGCAGGGCAAAAAGCCCCGAATAAAGTTTAAAATACTAACTGATTCAAAAGAAAGAGGGGGGTTTGCCCTGCCGGACTTAAGGTTGTACTATGAAGCTGCAGCCTTCTGCTGGCTGAAAGATTGGTTTTTGCTGGAAAATACCGATGTCCTAGATCTGGAAGGTTTTGATAATGCTTTTGGTTGGCATGCATATCTATGGTATGACAAGGCTAAAGTTCACAAATTGTTCAAAAACCACATTGTCAGAAAAGCAATTTTTGCAGTCTGGACGAAATATAAAGACTTACTAGAGAGCAAAACACCGAGGTGGCTATCACCGGTGGAGGCCAAGGCTCGAAAAAGACTCAATATGGAGGCCTATTGGCCGAAATATTGGGAATTACCGTATTTTTCGCACCATTGGACGCACTTTTTTACTCTTAAAAAGTAAGGGGAAATGTCTGTGCGTCCTATGGAGCGAATGTGTGGTCCCTGGGGCCAAATTGTCGGAGTGCGGCACACTCTTGGACTGGTCTTTGGTAGTGGTGGTGGAGCCGCGCTCCCCTGCCGGCAGCCTCGGCTTCCCTCTGCAGCCCCAGGAAGCTTTGGAGCAAGAGGAGGGCTGTGCGCCCCTGCCCGCACTCCTGGGCTGCTGAATGGGGGCGGGGGGGGAGAGCCGCGCTCCCCTGCGGGCAGCCTCGCTTCCCCCTGCAGCCCCGGGAAGCTTTGGAGGAACGTGAGGGCTTTGCGCCCATCCCCCGCGCTTTTGGGCTGTTGAATGGGGGAGGTGGGGAGAGCCTCGCTTGTCTGCCGGCAGCCTCGGCTTCCCTCTGCAGCCCCGGGAAGCTTTGGAGCAGGGGAGGGCTGTGCGCCCCTGCCCCACACTCCTGGGCTGCTGAATGGGGGCGGAGGGGGGGGGAAGAGCCGCGCTCATCTGCCGGCAGCCTCGGCTTCCCCCTGCAGCCCGGGAAGCTTTGGAGGAACGGGAGGGCTGTGCGCCCATCCCCCGCGCTTCTGGGGTGTTGAATGGGGGAGGTGGGGAGAGCCTCGCTCGTCTGCCGGCAGACTCGGCTTCCCTCTGCAGCTTTGGAGCAACGGGAAGGCTGTGCGCCCATGCCCCACGCTCCAGGGCTGCTGAATGGGGGTGGGGGGGTGCTGCTCTGCCAGCAGCCTGCCCCTTCCCCTCAAGGTTTGGAGCAGTGGGCAGGCTGTGCGCCCATGCCCCACGCTCCAGGGCTGCTGAATGGGGGTGGGGGGTGCTGCTCTGCCAGCAGCCTGCCCTTCCCCTCAAGGTTTGGAGCAGTGGGCAGGCTGTGCGCCCATGCCCCACGCTCCAGGGCTGCTGAATGGGGGTGGGGGGTGCTGCTCTGCCAGCAGCCTGCCCTTCCCTCAAGGTTTGGAGCAGTGGGCAGGCTGTGCGCCCATGCCCCACGCTCCAGGGCTGCTGAAATGGGGGTGGGGGGTGCTGCTCTGCCAGCAGCCTGCCCTTCCCCTCAAGGTTTGGAGCAGTGGGCAGGCTGTGCGGCCATGCCCCCACGCTCCAGGGCTGCTGAATGGGGGTGGGGGGTTCTGCTCTGCCAGCAGCCTGCCCCTCCCCCTCAAGGTTTGGAGCAACGGGAAGGCCTGTGCGCCCATGCCCCACGCTCCAGGGCTGCTGAATGGGGGTGGGGGGTGCTGCTCTGCCAGCAGCCTGCCCTTCCCCTCAAGGCTTTGGAGCAGTGGGCAGGCTGTGCGCCCATGCCCCACACTCCAGGGCTGCTTGAATGGAGGTGGGGGGTGCTGCTCTGCCAGCAGCCTGCCCTTCCCCTCAAGGTTTGGGAGCAGTGGGCAGGCTGTTTCACTGAGAGAGGGGAGGAAGAGGACGAAGAGGAAGGGGGACCAAGAAGCTGGGTGAAGGGAGATGAGGTACCATAGGTTCCGTGAGTGGAGAGTCATGGTAGAGGGCAAAGGAGAGGGAGCAGTGAAGGGGAGAAATTGTAGACGTCACCTGAAGGAGTTTGGGTGAAAGGGATGGAGTGGAGGAGGCTGGAAAAGGGGACTGTTCTGCTGGGGAGGGGGACAAAAATGTGGGGAAAAGGAAAAGCCTCCCAAGCCTGCTACTGAGAAGCTCTGCTTGGCTGTTTCTTGACTGTAATTCAAGTAAAGGGAATGTTTGCGAGCAGCTGGCAGGCTGTTCGCTGAGAGAGGGGAGGAAGAGGATTGAGAGGAAAAAATGTGGCATTAGCAATGCTTTGGATGGATACGAAGATGGTATTTTACATGAAGATAGCGAAGAAAGTGATGTCTCTGACTGTGAGCAACTGAGCTTCATAAATTCTGACTTTAGCAGTGATGAGTTCTTGGGTTCACAGAAGACTAGAAGAGTACTCAAACCTTAAAGTCTCTCTTCATTTGTTAATGACAGTGATGATGGTTCTTAATGCATTGTTGACTGCTGTTCACTTTACATGGCTGTAATGTGATTCTGATATACCAGTTGTTTATTAAATACAGTAGTTTATACAACATTTGATTCAGAATATTTTTCCTTGTTTTCCTCCTCTAAAAACTAGATGCGCCCTATGGTCGGGTGCGTCCAATGGAGCGAAAAATACGGTAATTGAAAAAATTGGAGACAATTGGAAGTTGCAGAGCCAGGACAAATTAAAAAACAAGGTGCGAGATTGGCTACATTATGCTCAAATTCAAGAGGTTTTTAAAATGGATAAAAGGTGGGTTTCCAGGTGGGAAAAATCGAAACTAGAGACAGAATTGTTAGAACCAAAAGACCAAGACTTTATCGAGAATGTATAACTTGCTGCTTAAATGGAATACACAGGATGAGGTAGTTAAATCTGCCATGATAAAATGGCACAGGATGTTGGACACAACATTATGTTTGAAGACTGGGAAAGGTTATGGAACACCGGAATGAAATTCACGGCATGTAGTGCCTTGAAGGAAAACATTATGAAAATGGTATACCGGTGGTACATGACCCCAGTCAAGCTAGCTAAAATATATCACCTGTCTGACAACAAATGCTGGAAATGTAAGGAGGCAGACGGGACATTTTTCCATCTCTGGTGGACCTGCCCAAAAGTGAAGGCCTTCTGGGAAATGATACATAACGAATTGAAAAAGGTATTTAGGTATACCTTTCCTAAGAAACCAGAGGCCTTCCTATTGGGTATGGTGGACCAGAAAATGTCAAAGAAGGATAGAATCTTGTTTATGTATGCTAGCACAGCAGCAAGAATACTTATCGCAAAGAACTGGAAGACACAAGATTTACCCACGCTGGAGGAATGGCAGACGCAGCTGATGGACTACATGGAATTAGCTGAACTGACCGGCAGAATCCGAGATTTGGATGAAGAAACAATTGAGGGGGACTGGAGAAAATTTAAAGACTATTTGCAAAAACATTACAAGTTGTATGAATCTTAAGTTAGTGCATGACTGAGAAATGCTATGCTTTGGCAAATATGATTAAGTAAATGCTAGAATAAGTGATAAAAGAGAAAGGAGACAATTCGAATTGAACATGTTATGTTTATTATAAAAGTACCCAAATTAAGATACAATATATTGAATTAGGAGACATAACAATTGAAAGTTACAATAAGGTATGAAATAAGGTACAAATTGCTGACATTATTAAATTTAAAGAACGCAGTTCCGGGAGGGTGCGGGGAAGTCCAAACAGGGAATGGTATTTACAGTTTTTTGTTTAAATTCTATTTTGTTTTTGTTGAAAAAGGAAAGAAAAATTGTTTCTTGTATTTAAAGCATTTGTGATGTTTGGATTGTACGAAGTTATGGAAAGAAACGCAATAAAAAATTTATAAAAAGATAAATAAGCAGCCTTTTTAACTGACCGATTAGATTTAAATAAATTTGCATGATAAATTCACACAAATCCTCCATTTGGTAGTATTTTTGTTAGATTATTTTTATTTATTTTAAAAGTTGCAGAAAAAGGAAAAGCCACATTGAACAGTGGTCCCCCCACCCCGCTACCATCGATTACTAAAGCACATCGGCATCAAAAGAGCTTCATTAAAAATAGCTCAATGGGACTTTATTTCTCAGTCTCAGTGACTATAACTTAATTGGCTCCAGCGAGACCATAGCGGGAGCAATCCCTGAGGAAGCAGAATATTCCAAACAGGCCCCCTTCCCCTGCTAAACCTCCCATTTCCTCACATGGTACGCCAATAGGGTAGGGTTTATGGCCACAATACCATCCTACCATCATTTGTAACTCAAGTATGATTAACGTAAAATTAAAGTTTGCAGTTGATAAAAATAATTTTTTCAGCTTTGGTATCGTGGACTTGCGGGGGTCAGTAATTGCCCGCTATTGGTGTGAGGCATTTTTTTAAAAAAGGAAAAATATATATTAATGATTTAAATTGGCTCGTACAAACCCAAGGGCTTGGTTTTCCCCCCCAGACCTGTTAATTTCAGCCTGCAGAGTGCATTGCAAGTGGTCATTCTGATTAATTACCAAATCTCCTTAATTATAGTATTTGGTTTGCTTAAAGCAAAATGTGCACTCATCTCAGCAATTATAATATAATTTTAACAGCAATCGTTTCCCTCAAAGTCTGAACTGGAAAAGGCTTGTGGAGGAAAATGAAGATTGCATTATTTTTATGAGTTGAAATCTTTTGCTAACTGCATGAATGCTGTGAGCCCCCAATCCATTACTGTGTCAAGCACCGCTGAGACCCTCAGATCACAAGTTATAAATGTTCCAAATTATTCTGTTATTAGGAGGTAGTGTTGAGTCATTTTCCTTAGAGCTCCTGCTCTAAGACCCAAATTAATGCATTTCATTGATATTCCCAAGTATGTGCAATAATGTGGTTATGAAGACCTATCATGATGGTTTTCTCCAACTTTTCTCTAATTACCTGTGCTTGATTCAATTATGCTGAATGCCATAATTATTATTTTTTTAAAACCTACTCTGCTGTTATCAGGTGGGAGAGGTTAGAGAGCTATTCATTTAATACCCCTGGCAGCTTAAAGGGAAATTATTTCTGCATCTTATTAGGCAACCAGTGGACCCTTATTCTGATTGCAACCAAGCTAAAAACTTGCTAACCTTTGCTGTACACCTGCTCATCTTGATCTGCCAAGAGAAAGGACACCTGGGGGGCAGTGGCTGGGACAACCCTGGAATGGACAATAAAAGAGGGGTGGATAAACCTCAATCCTCAATGTCCTTTATGCAGGCCAGTAAGGGGCATGTGCCACCCTATGAGTTCGCGTACTGCCATCATTGCTCACAGGGACAAAGTATTTTCCGTCGATGGAATCTGTTGGCCAATAACAATCCCTCAAAGTAACAGCCGAGGCCGCAACCACACATTCAATCTTGTGAGACGCTAAAACGACCCTATATGTATTAGAATTGCTAAGGCTTATGCAAAATAGGGTAGCCGAAGAGTTGCATGAGAAGGAGGCCGAAAGTAGTCCATACCATGGGCAAAATTTCCTCTATTAGTGGCCCAGTTGTTCTGCGCTCAACATCATTTAGGCGCTGACAAATTAGACTGTTTGCTTTACTAAAACCCAAGGTTGCAGGTTCGATCACTGTATGATCCTCGGATCCCTTCCAACTTTACAGCTCTACGATTCCTGCAGGCACCTGGCTGGCTGGTCTGAGAAAAATTGCTTGAGAAAATGTGGAAAAGAAACTAAAAGTATTCATTTTGTTTCAGTAATCAAGCCCGTAACACTGAGCATTCTCAAAGGACCCTCTGGGTGATAAGATCTCCTCATAAGAACAAATATCACACCACGCCGTTCTGGAGCACACAACTTGTTTCATTTCTCATAAACTATGCCAGTCCTCAAGAGATCCCCAGAAGGCCAAATTTGTTCACTTGTCAGCAAATGTCTAATGAGATCAGAACTTTGCAGCTACAATGAAGCTATAGGCCTTCAGGCTGTTCTTCTGACCCAGACATAATTGCAGTCTTTGAGATGAGAACTATGAAAGCCGATCGGGAGGCCTGAAAAAAATTGGTGACCCACCAAACTGAACAAAGCCCGTCATCCATACATTGTGGCTTGTCAGATCTCCTATTTATGCAGATCCAGGTTAAGTGG